GAACATGTTCAAATTACAAAATCATAGCCGCTGGATTACGGGCGACAAATCTGTCGCTTCAATCGCTCGTTTTAGCGGCACGTGAAATTGTACTTTTAATATGATGATACAAAATGATAGAAAATTTGTCTATCATATCCGCTTATGATGATTTTGAATCCCTTATTTCACAATTGACTTATGAAATTTCGTAAATGTATTATATCATATATTATCACGTCTTTTATAAATTATTTTATAAGTAGGATTGTTATGAAAACATATTATAAGCAGTTTATCATAAAATATAATAATAAATATATGCGATGCAATATTTCCTATATTGAAATAACATCAACTTATTATACAAACATTCATATTCTACATGATTGAAAAGAATACCCAGACAGCACAAAACGTCCTCAGGATCATCCTGAATATGTCCAGGATGGTTCAGGATATTTGTAGGATGTTTTAAGATATTATTATAAATATATTTTATGAAAATTTAATATGCATACATGATTACTTTCGGTTATGTAGGCTATTTAATATAATTTAGAAATTTTAAGTATTGTAATAAGTATTAATGTCCTATAAATGTCCATTGGATAACTCCTGGATGTCTGTAGGATATCTGCCCTGTCTATTATATTGAATGTCCTTTGGATTTCCAGAGGACATATACATGTGCAATTAATTGTTAACATTAATTTCGTTTAATATTAATAATTGAATTTGATGCGCACATTTTCACATATTCAAAATTATTGTTTATTTAATATTTCATGAGAAATGTTACTATGCGCAACATTCCAAAAACTTTACAAAAAATAGTATTCAACCGCTAGTTCGTTTGTTTACCGCTATGCGACGCGCAAACTCGTATTTGAGATTTGGTCATGAGAATTATATAAAGCTTGCAAAGAGCAACTAACAGGAAATTAAAAATATAATTATTTTTTATCAGTTCAATTTTTCTGATGCAATCCCAACATAGGGAATTCAGATTCAGATATTGGATTGTTTTGAAAATATTACACGACTTAAACCCGGAAGCCAAACCTAAAATATTTATGTACAGCACGAAAACCTCAAATATTAAAGAACGTGAACTATTTTTAGTATTAGATTTTTAGTATTGGCAGTAAATAACAGAACGCAATCTTAATTTATATTTAAATTTTAGAATTTGTTCTTTTTAACGTGTGAAAAATATCCCTAACATATCCTATAGAAATCCTTAAGATGTTCCATAGGATCTCCCTGGATTCTCCAGAGGCTAGTGTATGGCTATCATTTACTCTTCCTCAGGACATCCAGAGGAGATCCGAGGATTAAAATAGGATATCCTCAGGATATCCTACATGTATGTCCTGGATGCCCTTTGGACGTCCTAAGGACATCCTTGTGCTGTTTGGGTAGTATCATAAAATATGATTAAAATACATAGAAAACCTATGTTGTGTGACTTCGGTATATGATAACTCATATAAATCAACATAGAAATTCTATCCGTTTTTATCACATCCAATTATTTTTTATCAAATATTTTAAGCAGTACATGCATGATACATGGGGTATTATTTATGAAGTGATTCACTCAAATTTTCATAGTTTTCCGATTATGCTAAAATTTGCACAAAGTGTAGTCCTATTAAAAGTAAAATCTTTTGGCCTGCGACTAATGGGCTTTCTATTAACAAGGGCTTGAATTTTTATCATTTGGGCCATCGCGTCCAAATTCAGACGCTGATAAGTTCCAGTAAATTACTCCGATTTAAAAAAAACAAGTAGTGGTTTTGAAAGGTCTTTTTACTCCCTTTAATCTTATAAAATCAGTTTTATAAAAAAGGCAAAATTTATTTAAGATTTTTGAAGAACAAAATAAAAATCGTTTTTTCTCAAATTTAGACTCTCAATCTTTTTTGAAAAAATCTTAAAAAAGAAATATAAATCTTCCCTTTTAAAACGAGCCCAGGATCAAGATGGACAGACTTTTAGTTTTCAAGATATACAGTCCGCTTTAGGACCGAGCACCCACGATGCAACTCGGGCGCTGTTGCAAGTGCAGACAGATGATCTGATCAGTCTTATTGCTTGTGGTCAGGCGTGGTGACCTCTCTTATATATTAAATATATAAAATACTGCTAAATACAAATGAGAGAGAAGTATAATTTTATCGACGTTATCTCCGATCGATGCAATCTGAAAAAATTTAAATACAAATTTTATAGCTGTAACTAGTTTTCTAGATATAGTTTCTCATGACACACACTCACACAGAACAAAATATCGAAGAGATATCTAGTGAATATTTACATATCTATTCCATGTCCATGTCTACTATGGATAATTAGTAGACATCTAATAAATGAATAAAATATTTATATCTCTCAAATAACTAGCGAGGATATCTAATGGATGTGTACACATTATCCATATATCCATGTCCACCAAAAAGCTACCAAAGATATCCACCAGATTTTACTCAATAATAACTCCTTTATTAAGCGTTATATAAAAAAATGTTACAGGACTTTTCTGTTCAGTTTACTGTGCTCTAGCCGCACACGAGCGTTGGCACAATCTTTACCGAACACCCTATATACATGTTATCCATATATCCATGTCTGCCAAGTAGCTACCAAAGATATCTGTTAGATATACACGTTTTATCCACATATCCATGTCCACCAAGAAGCTACCAAAGATATTTATTAGAGATTTACATGTTTATTTGCTTACCGCTATGCGGCGCACTATTCACTTTCTGTACCCGTATTCAAGTTCTTGTCATGAACGTATATAAAAGCCTGCAAAATTCGGCTGATAATTATAATTATCAATGTAATTATCTACCATAACGTAATATTACCATTGTAATTATTTTTATCAATTTAATTTCTGGTACAATTTCCGTACCGGGGAATTCAGATAACTGATTTTTTAAAAATCAGATAATTTCTTCATCGGAAATTCCGATTTTCACTTATTTAAATAATTTCTGTCCAAATAAGTGAAAACCATTCATTATTATTTACTGAAAATAAAAAATAGAAATTAACTTCCACATAAATAAAATCTTTAATTTTATAAATTAAATTATTTAAATTTATCTATAATATATATCAC